ACAATGCCACCTCAAAGCTTCGCTGGCCAGGGTGGGCCTTCCGCTGGAGATGCACCTAGGCAAGGATGGGAGGGTCGACGGAGTCTGGGCGGTGGCTGCATCTGCCCTCTAGGTGCTGGACACAGGCGAGCAGCTGATGGTCCCCGTGGAGGTCCTGGAAGCGGACAACGAGGGGGCCTGGTGGAAGTTTCTACTCTCGGGAGCCGTGGCTGGGGCTGTGTCTCGCACTGGCACGGCCCCTCTGGACCGAGCCAAGGTGTACATGCAGGTGGGGAGGGGACACAGCGCTGGAACCACTGCGGCCAGCATGGGGTGGAGATGGCTGGAGGTGTGGAGATGGGTTTCAGAATGGGGTGGTGATAACGTTGGAAACAGATATGAGGGCAGATCTGGGACAAGGGGTGGAGTTGGGAAGGAGGCTTAATAGAGATGAAGGTGGAGGTTGGGGATCTTGTAGGGTGGTATTGAGATTAGAGTTGTGGATGATGGTGGAGCTGATGTGGACGGGACCTGGAGCTGAATTGGGGAAGGAGTTGAGAGAATGGTACCAGGGACTTGGATCAGCACTAGACAGGTGTTGCACTTACGGACCAGGAAATTGGGGATGAAGTCTCTGGATGGATTTGAAGATAAACTAGCACTGAGTGAGGAGATGAGGAATGAGATGAAAATGTGAGTTGGTGTTGAGTTTGGGGTCTGAGGGGAGAAAGGCAACAGGACTGGGTTTCAGAATTCTCTGCAGGGCCAGGGGAGGAGCTGAGGATGGAATGAGGATGGGATGGGGACAGGATTGGAGCTGGGCTGGCTGAGGACAGATAAGGGGGAGTTCCAGGCTGGGATGGGGCTGGGGCTGGGGGTGGGGTGCACCTCATAGGGCCAGGGTCCCTTCTGCCCTCAGGTCTACTCCTCCAAGACCAACCTCATGAACCTGCTGGGGGGGCTACGGAGCATGGTCCAGGAGGGGGGCTTCCGCTCTCTATGGCGGGGCAATGGCATCAACGTGCTCAAGATCGCCCCTGAGTATGCCATCAAGTTCTCGGTCTTTGAGCAGGTGGGGAACGGTCTACTTTCCCCAGCCCTTCAAACCCAAACTCCACAAGTCCAGGTCTTCATCCAAGGCACGTTTTATTGCTCTCCAATTCCCAGACCTCTTCCTTAGGGTGGGTTTGAGGTAGGAAGACAATTAGCTTCCCTCACACTCTTCTCCTCTGTCCCAGTGTAAGAATTACTTCTGCGGTGTACGTGGCAATCCGCCCTTCCAGGAACGTATCCTTGCTGGCTCCCTCGCGGTGGCCATCTCCCAGACGCTCATCAACCCCATGGAGGTAAGAGACCACCTGTCCCCCAGACAATGATATGAGATGAAAACCATAGCAGCTTCCACCCATTGAGTGGGTACCAAGTACCAGGCCCTGTGCCACACACTTTGCATGTACTGCTTTGTTCAGCTCTCACAAGAATCCCATGGGGCACTGTGATTATCTTCATTTTGTTGTTGCCATCAGTTTGGCTCTGACTCATGGTGACCTTACATATAACAGAATGAAACAGTACCCAGCCCTGCACCTCCATGATCGTTGGTATGTTTGAGCCTGTTGTTGTAGGTGCTGTGTCAATCCATCTCACTGAGGGTTTCCTTCATTGCACTGACCCTCCACTCTACCAAACATGACCACCTTTTCTAGCAATTGTTCCCTCCTGATGACATGTCCAAACTAAGCAAGTCAAAGCCATACCATCCTCGCTTCTGAGAAGCATTCTAGTTTCATTTCACCTAAGATTTGTTCATTCTTCTGGTAGCCCATGGTATATTTGATATTCTTCACCATTCGATATTCAAAGGCATCAGTTCTTCTTTGGTCTTCCTTATTCATTGTCCAGCTTTCACATTCATATGAGGCCATTGAAAATACCATGGCTTGGGTTAGGTGCACCTTAGTCCTCAAAGTGACATCTTTGCTTTTGAACACTTGAAAGAAGTCTTTTGCAGCAGATGTGCCCAGTGCAATATGGAGTCTGATTTCCTGACTGCTGCTCTGATGGGTGTTGATTGTGGATCCAAATAAAATGAAGTCTTTGACAACTTTAATCTTTTCTGCATTTATCATGATGTTGCTCATTGGTCCAGTGGTGAGGATTTTTGTTTTCTTTATGTTGAGGTGTAATCCATACTGAAAGCTGAAGTCTTTGAACTTCAGTAAGTCCTTCAAGTTATCTTCACTCTCAGCAAGCAAAGTTGTGTGTTCTGCAGATCGCTGGTTGTTAATGAGTCTTCCTCCAATCCTGATGCCTTGTTCTTCTTCAGATAGTTCAGCTTCTCAGATAATTTGCTCAGAGCTCTGGTAGCATAGTGCCTAAGGCACTTGACTGCTAACCAGAAGGCTGGTGGTTCAAACCCATCAGCTACTCCTCGGAAGGAAGAGGGGGCAATCTACTTTTGCAGTGATACTGCCTTGGAAACCCAAGGAGGGGTCACTATGAGTCAGTTCCGACTCGACGGCACATAACAACAACAGACTGAATAATATGGTGAAAGGATACAACCCTGACACACACATTTCCTGATTTCAAACCACACAGTATCTCCCTTCTGTTCAAAAGACTGCCTCTTTGTTCATGTACAGGTTCCTCATGAGCACAATGAAGTGTTCTGGAATTTCCATTCTTCACAATGTTATCCATAATTTTTTATGATCCACACAGTCAAATGCCTTTGCATAGTCAATAAAACACAAGTGAACATCTTTCTGATATTCTTTGCTTTGAGCCAAGATCCCTCTGACATCAGCAATGATATCCCTCGTTCCACGTCCTCTTCTTCTTTTTTACATCTTCCTTTTCCTCAAAGCCACCATCCACACCTTCTTCTGAATCCAGCTTGCATTTCTGGCAGTTTCCTGTCAATATACTGCTGTAACTATTTTTGGATTACCTTGAGCAAAATTTCACTTGCATGTGGTATCATTGGTATTCTTCAATAATTCCCTCATTCTGTTGGATCACTTTTCTTTGTTATGGGCACAAATATAGATCTCTTCCAGTCGGTTGGCCAGAGAGCTGTCTTTCAAATTTCTTGGCATAAACAAATTAGCATCTCCAGCACTGCATCTGTTTGTTGAAACATCTCAATGGGTATTCCATCAATGATTGCAGCCTTATTTTTTTGCCAATGCCATCAGTGTAGCTTGGACTTCTTCCTTTACCATTTATTCTTGATCACACGTTACCTGCTGAAATGGCTGAATGTCAACCAGTTCTTTTTGGGACAGTGACTCTGTTTATTCCTTCCATTTTCTTTTTTTTTTTTTTTAATTTTTTAAATTATTTTTAAGAGCTTGTTTTACATTCAAAGTTACGCATACATTTAGTTTCATTCCCCATTCGCCATGTCCAACCCTAACCCAGTCTCCTCCCCTCCCTACCCTGCAACACTCCCCTTGTGCCCCTCATAATTGTGTACTCCTGTTTGTCCTGCATTTCCTCGGTTTGAATGTTGGTCCTTTGGTGTCCCATGGTCTATTGCTCTAAGGGATGTATTACCATTGAGTGTGTGGGTGCGTCATCCTGGGTTGAGTAGTCTGCGTGTACATCTCGCTAACCATTGGGCTGAGAGCCTGCCCCTGGGGGTGAGTTTTATTCCAGGCGCCGAATGTATTTCAGGGCCATAGTATTGGGAGTCTCACCAGACTTCATCTGACCAGTAATTCTGGTCATTATTAAGTTTTTGGATTTTGTTCCATGTTTTCCCTCCCACTCTGTCCAGGATCTCCAGATTTGATCCTTTCCTGAGTGGTTGGCATTGGTAGCCAGGCACCATCCAGTTCTTCTGGTCTCGAGGGCTATCGTGTCCTAGGGTTGATTGCTTCTAAATGCCCTTTTTTTGTGCGTGTGTGCATTCTTCTTCACTTCCGATGCTAGGAGACCATTAGCTGCATCCTAGATGGCTCCTGGAAAGCTTTTAAGACCCCAGTCATTACTCACCAATGTAGGATGTGGAGCAACGCTTTTATGTATTTTGTTGTGCCAATTGAGTTAGGTGTACCCCAGTACCATGGGCCTGAGGTAGTAGCTCTATTGGATCTCTCTCCCATAGTGTCAGGATGTCTGTGAGGGATTGCTCTGTGTCTGTCTTCTATTATTGCTGTAAGGACTGCAGGTATTTTGTATCACTGGTGTCAGTACAAGATTAGGCTCAGCTGAGTCTATCCTTGGTCTATTCACGGACCCCTGTCTGATCATCTCAGGTGTTTATGTGTTTATCTGTAGAGCCTAGTCTTTGGTGTTTATGGCAATGTGGTATTGTGGACACATTGGTTGGTTTTAGCATCTGTCGTCTCTTATTGTGAACAGTTCGGTGTCCTCTCGGTTCTTCATTTTCTTTTGATGCTTCCTGCATAATTCAGTATTTTGCCCATAGAATCCTTCAATATTGTAACCTGAGTGTTTAATTTTTTCTTCAGTTCTTTAAGCTTGAGAAATGCTGAGTATCTTCTTCCCTTTTGGTTTCCTAACTCCAGGTTTGTGCACATTTCATTATAATAATTTACTCTGTGTTCTTGAGCCACCCTTTGAAATCTTCTGTTCAACTCTTTTATTGCATCATTTCTTCAATTTGCTTTAACCACCCTGTTCAAGAACAAGTTTCAGAGTCTTTTCTGAAATCCATTTTGGTATTTTCTTTCTTTCATGTCTTTTTAATCATTTTTTGTTTTCTTCATGTACGACGTCCTTGATGTCATCCCAGAACTTGTCTGGTCTCCAGTCACTGGTGGTCAATGTGTCAAATCTGTTCTTCAGATGGTCTCTAAATTCAGGTGGGGTATAATCAAGGTCGTATTTTGGCTCTCGTGGACTTGTTCTAATTTTCTTCAGCTTTAACTTGAACTTGCATATGAGCAGTTGATGATCTGTTCCACAGTCAGCCTTGGCCTTGTTCTGACAATGACACTGAGCTTCTCTATCACCTCTTTCCACAGATGTAGTCAATTTGATTCCTATGTATTCCCTTTGGCAAGGTCTACGTGTATCATCCCCATTTATGTTACTGAAAGAAGGTGTGGTAGTTAAAGCTGTGTGTCAACTTGGCTGGGCGGTGATTTTGAGTGGCTTGGCAGCTGGATGTACTTACTCCCCATGATGAGAGTATAATCAACTCTATGGTGCAATCTTTTGTGAGACCTTAATCCGTGGAAGAGGGGAGTTGCCTTCAGGGTGTGGGCTGCTTCCAGTGGAGAAGCTTTGAGAAAGGTCTCTAGTTTCTTGGCACATTTAGATCCTGCATCTAGCGGAGTCTTCATCTCCAGTTCTTGGACTTGAACCAGTGGCCTGTCATGTTGCCTGCTGATCTTGGGATTTGCCAATTTACCTGCTGACCCTGGGTTTGTCAGCCTCAGCAGCCAGCAGCTGCTTGAGTAAGAAGAAACTCCAGCTCTGGTGGGCCTGGAATAAGAGGCAGAGCTGAAGCCCAAGGTCGAGGGGCTTTCACCCAGCCCCTAGAGCCGGCACTCTGAATTTGGACTTCCAGCCTCTTAAGCTGTAAAAGAATAAATTCCTGTTTGTTAAAGCCACCCATTTGTGGTGTATCTGTTAAGCAGCACTGGAGAGCAAGACAGAGGTATTTGCAATGAATCAGTCTTGCAAAAGTCTATCATGTGATATCCAGCATCATTTTTATCACCAAGGCCATGTTTTCCAACTACCAGTGCATCTTCTTTGTTTCCAACTTTAGCGTTTCAATCACCGGTGATAATCAGTACATCTTGATTGCATGATTGGTCAATTTCAGACTGCAGAAGTTGGTAAAAATCTTCAATTTCCTCATCTTTGGCTTTAGAGATTGGTGTGTACATTTGAATAATAGTTGTATTAACTGGTCTTCCTTGTAGGCATATGGATATTGTCCTGTCACTGGCAGCACTGGACTGCAGGACAGATCTTGCATTGTTCTTGTTGACAATGAATGCAACACTATTCCTTGTCATTCCTGGCATAGTAGACCATATTACTGTCAGATTCAAAAGGGCCAATTCAAATAGCAGTGAAACGCTGTCTGATATAGTACAGGGACCCTAATTACATCTGCAAAAACCCCTTCACCTTTGTAATATAAGTTAAGCTAATCAGGGGACGGATAGCCCTCATAGTCACACATCCCACTCATGGCCAAATAGGGAGAGGAGTATTATACAGGGCGTGTATCCCCACTACTCCAGGGTGGGAAGCTTGGGGACCACCTTAGAATTCTCCCTACCACTCTATGTACTTTATCATATGTGCAAGTGTAAAGCTGCCAATATTTTTATATTGGGACAGTCCCTAAAAATTCACGTTTCTAGCTCCTTTAGGCAAACTGGCAGATCCAGCCCCCTGGGTCCCCAGTCCTCCAGTCCACCAGAGCTGGGCTGGAGCCATGCCCGATCCCTCGCAGCTCCTGTCACGTCCCTCACCCTCCTGACCTCTGTCAGCCTTTGCGTTTCAGGGTCCTGGGTGGAGAGCAGACACAGGCCCAGCGATCAGACAGACCTGGGTTCGAAACTCAGCTCTTCACGTTCTTCAGTTTCCTCCTTTGCAAGACGGGGATGATGGTCGTTGCTGTGGGTCACTGTCTTTGAATCTTAGTGCCACTCTATCAGAAATGTGAGTGGGTGGCTTTAACAAAAAGAACTTTATTTTCTCATAGTTTAGGAAGGTGGTGGTGTTAGGTGCCATCAATTTGATTGTGACTCACAGCGACCCCACGCGGCAGGGTAGAACTGCCCCGTGGGGTTTTCTGGGCTGTCATCTTTGTGGAAACAGATCACCAGGCCTTTCTTCTGCAGAGCTGTTGGGTGGGTTTGAACCACCAACCTTTTGGTTAGCAGCTGAGCACTTAACCATTTGCGCCACCAGGGCAGAAGTCTGAGTTCAGGGCACTGGCTCCAGGGGACGTCCTTGTCTCTCTGAGCTTCTCTTCCTGGGTTCCTTGGACATCTCCCCTTGGCATCAATCTCCCACCCCTTGCTTCTGTGTTCATCTCTATGCCTAATCTGTTCTTTTTATATCTCACTTTACTGGCTTGAAACACATCCTGCACAGATCTGGCCTCGTTAATGTACCAAGAAGACCCTTTCCCCAGATGGGATTATATTCACAAATATGCTTTTGTTTGGAGCCATCCAGTCAATTCTGACTCCCAGTGACCCCATGTGTCAGAGTAGAACTGCCCCACAGGGTTTCTTAGGCTGTCATCTTTATGGGAGCAGATTGCCAGGTCTCCCTCCTGCAGAGATGCTGGGTGGGTTTGAACAGCCAACCTTTCTGGATTGGTTTAGGGGCTTAACCATGGCATCACTGGGGCTCCTTCATCCCCATGTACAGGGGTTAGGGCTGGCAACACACATCTTGGGTGACACAATTCAATCCATGAGAGTCACTAAGAGGATGAAGTCCAATGAGCCACCTCGTCTTCCCTCCTCCCCAGGTGCTGAAGACGCGGCTGACGCTGGGCTGGACAGGCCAGTACAAGGGGCTGCAGGACTGTGCACGGCAGATCCTGGAGCGGGAGGGGCCCCGCGCCTTCTACCGCGGCTACCTGCCCAACATGCTGGGCATCATCCCCTACGCAGGCATCGACCTGGCCGTCTATGAGGTAGGTACCCACAAGGGGAGGGGTGGGGTGGCCTGGGCCCATCATGAGCTTTCTCCCAGCCCCCTCCTCTTGCAGACCATGCTGTGCTTCTGGCAGAAGTCAGGGAGGGACATGGAGGACCCCAGCGGCCTGGTGGTCAGCGTGTCGTCCGTGACGCTGTCCACGACCTGCGGCCAGATGGCCAGTTATCCGCTGACCTTGGTGCGCACCAGGATGCAGGCTCAAGGTCAGCCTGGTCCCCTGGTGGCTGCCACGTGACCACCACCCCCTACTGCCCCAGCTCGCAGGATTTTCTCAGCCCCCAAAATGGACCCTCAGATCTCCATATCTGATCCTGGCTGCCTTCACTGGCCTTCAAACACACCAAAACTTATACTCACCCTCAAAGCTGAGCACAGCCTTGAAAAGTCATTAAAACGTCTATCCCCAACTTAGCCTCACTCCCCAAATGTGACCCAGGCCCCCATACTGACCCAAAGACAAACCAGTTGCCAGTGAGAAGGCTGTGAGTCATGGTGACTCCATGTGTCGAAGTAGAACTGCGCTCCATTCAGTGGTCAATTTTTCAGAAGTAGATTCCTGGGCCCTTCTTCCCAGGTGCACATGAACCTCCAGCCCTTACGGATTGCAGCTAAGTGTGTTCACCATTTGAAACACCCTGGGACTTCTGATTCCAAGAAAAATATCCCCCCAAAGGACCCAACTTCTCCAAACCAGACTTAGCCTTCAAATAGTTCCATAACTACTCCCCAAATTTGCCATGGCTGACTCTCAGACTCCCCAAAATTTATATCCACTTCCCCTGCTACCTTGAAAACTCTCCAAATCTGACACCTCAAATAAACTCTCAACCCCCAAACCAATCCAGAAACCTCAAAACAGACTTGTAGCCCATCACCCTAACCTTGATCATGTTCTCCAAACAATTCCTAAGCACACTCCCAAAACCCTTAACAGATCTCAGAAGTTCTCACCCTTATAAGCTCAGTTGTTTTCTAAACTATTCCCTAAAATGAACCTCAAAAACTGCTCTCCAAACAGAACCCCTCACTCCGTCCAAACCAACCCATTTCCTCTAAAAGTCTTCCAAACTCTATTCCAACTGACCCCTCCAGACCTGTGGCCCTGATTTTGTCCTTCTATCCCTCAACATTCCAGCCTCCCAGGAGGTTGGGCTGCTGTTGCTGTCGGTGCCTTGAACTTGGCCTTGTCCCCACAGACACTGTGGAGGGCTCAAACCCCACCATGCGCGGAGTCTTCCAGCGGATCCTAGCTCAGCAGGGTTTGCCAGGGCTGTACCGAGGCATGACCCCCACTCTACTGAAGGTGCTGCCCGCCGGCGGCATCAGCTACCTGGTGTACGAAGTAATGAAGAAAACCCTGGGTGTTTCGGCAGCAAGATAGACCACAGGCCCTGGGTGGAAGTGGACAGGAGGGCCTGGTGTCCCCTGACCCCAAAGAGCTCTGCAGCCTCAGGCCCTGTGCCAGGCAGTTTTTGGAAAGAGAGCATACTGGGGGCTTGGGTCTGCACATTCCAGAGGCCCCTCCCCAGGGTGCAGCCCAGGACTGCAGTTTGGAGTCTGCCTGTGAGAGTGAGGCATGTTGGATCAAGGGCAAAATGGTGCACGTGCAGATGGCCACGAATAAAGGAATGATTTCTGCTGAGTGTGTCTGGGATACTGGGTCTAGGAGGGCAAAAGGGGGGCCTGGAATTCCTGGGTGTAGATGGCCAATTGGGGAGCTGGGTGCTTGGGATCCCTGGGACTAGGAAGGGAGCCAGGGACCTGGTGTCTCTGGATCTTTAAGGGGAATTGGAAGCCTGAATATTGCCGGGGTTCAGGAGCTAAATTGAGGGCCTGGAATCACAGCTTGCAATCCGGAGGCCTTACAGAAAGAGAGGGGTGGTGGTGTTAGAATTAAAGGCTAGTATCCTTTGGTCCTTGGAGGGACTGAGGCCCTGGGCCCTTGAGTTCAGTAGAGGAGTGGAGAACCTGGGATTCTATTGGTCATGGGGCAGAAGTGAAGGCTCTAAACCCCAAATCATGGGGAGGGGAGATTACTGAAAAGCTCTAGGTTTGCGCCTCTCTAGGCCACCCAACCCCCTCCCCGGAAGCATCCGATCTTCATGGCCTCAAGCCGACCTCGTGCCGGGCCTACCCAGCTAGGTTCCAGAAGCACTAACCCAGACGTCAGGCCTGAATTCGTGTATCCTGTGACCATTGCCCACGTCGCCTGCCATTCACGCCCACTTCCGCCAATCCTCTCTAGCCGTTGGGGGCGGATCCCGCCCACTGCAGCGGTGTTTCCACTGGCTCCCACCAAAACCAGGCACCTGTATTCCTTCCTTGCCGTTTGTTCGCAGTATCGTCAGTCACCTATGACCCGCCCCTGCCGTTCACTTACTGGTTGGGTTTAGACGTCAGGGCTAGAAAAGGATTTTGGTTAAAAAGGAAAGCCATCAAGTCTAAATGAGACTTCATTACGACGAGCTTTTGGGGATTGGATGAAACAAACTGGCAATCTTCACAAGAACCGCCTTCCACGAGTATTCATTGGCTGGGGGCACGACCATCCCACTGGGCTCCTGCCCAGCCCATTCAAAGAGGCCTTTCGTTGGCCTATCCTTCCCGTCCACTTGACTCTTCAGAGCCGTCAATCCACTCCTGAAGCCGCCCCACGATTCTGGAACTCCAGCTTCATTGGGCGTCCTGTCCTCTTAAATCCCTTCGATTTGCCCGCCCAGTGACGGCAGCCCGCCGCCTATTGCCTCTCAGAGATGTCGATTACTCGGCACCTCCCGCCTACTGCCTCTTGCGGCTGTCCTATTGGCCGCTCGCCTCCAAATTCCGCGATTGGTGTTCAGGGAACGGCGGCAGCCTCCCATTGGTCGGACGCCGCCGTCCGTCACGCCGCCGGCGGGAGGGGGCGGCCTCCTCCCCCCTCGTCGTCTTCCCAGCGGCTGGGCTCCCAGAGTGCTCCGCGGCGGTGTGGAGCGAGGCCTTGTTCCCGCGTTGAGCCGCCGCCGCCTCCTCAGCTTCTGCCTCCGCGCCAGGCCCGGCCCCGCCGCGCCATGTCGGACTATAGT